GATCCTGCTGATGGAGATGCAGATTATTTTCCTCTTCATATCAGGGAAGATTCACAATAACATCTGATAACTCCATAAACACAGCATATCTACAAATAGAAAATCTGAGAGTGGAAAGACACAGCCACATTTTACTGTGCTAGACACACAGCGATTAAAAATCATCTTCCATACAAAAACATTACGACAATTCCCCTTTCTGGACCACAAGGGTACAGGAGATATCTCAGATTGGCCATTTCATTGTTTACCATTTAATATACATAAGCCCAAGACAGCTGTAGTAACATATTGTCAGAATATAAGCCTTTCTATTTTTTTTTTCCTCTTTTACCATTTCTGTTTTCTATCTCTGAAATAACAGAGACAGCGGCAGTGGCGTCCGAGGCAGGTGCGGGGGGTGTGTCCGGTGAAGGGGACACCGGACCCGCTCCATGAAAAGGTATGTTGTAAAGCAAGCCAATGATCCCCGCAGGACCCTTAAAACACAGTGACATAACAAAGCTAAATCGAGCAATTTCAAAATTTCTATGGAAAGGGCAAACATACCGCGTATAGCACTCTCTAATTTTTTCTGCCACGAAGCGAAGGAGGGCTCCGGTCTCGTCAAACGTGTGAGTCCTACAACCTTTCATGTCTACTCCGTATATGTCTAGAATGGCTCACCCAATCCTCCAAATACTCCAATTATCATATTGAAACCTGCCATAGCACGTCCCTATGATCTTCTCAGCCCTATTACATTCAAATGTAAAACTCTCTTCCACCTCATCTAAAACATAACTCGCTCATCGCGATACCCTTATTACATGGAGGGAAGTCAGACGTAAACTGGGGGTCTCTCCGTGGCTTTCTTCCTATCCATCATAATCCATCCTTCTCTCCCCTGCAATCATATGAAGCTATGAAACCTGGCTAGCTCATGAGTTAACTTTGGTACAACACCTACTGTATATGACACCTCTACGGTTCCCCAAAGCCTCTTATCAGTGTCCTACAAACCTACGAACTACCATCACATCATTTTTTTATATGCTGCAAGTAAGAGGACCTTTGTCAACTCCGTTGCACCTCTTAAATCTACTAGATTCCATACGACATTCATCGATGTCTTGGCGAACTCTTGAAAGTATAAAAATATCAAACAAATATAGACCTTTTAATCTTCATCTATAACGCCAAACCCTGGTCGAGACATATAATGCTGTGAAATCCAGGGTCAAAGACTTCGATAATGCATTTACAGCTGACCAACTACTATTAGGCTTCAATTCCACATGTGCCTTCAAACCTCAACGAATTCTGGCGGGAGGGTAAGATCCTTCACCGTGCCTACATGCCCTGTCTCTCTACTCAAAGAATGACCCGGCTCTGTCTACTTGCCCTCTCTGTGGGGTAGTCACAAACCATCACTGCACCACAGACTATGGCTCTGCTCTGCTATATCCACTTTCTGGAAGCAAGTGATCAACTTCATAACCTTCATCACTACCTACTAACTGCCCAATTGATGCGCAACTGCTCCTCTTCGGCTTCGGCCTCGTGGACCAGCCAGCCATTGGTCTCTCTTCCTCTCAAATGTCAACTATCAGAAATAACAAAACCTGGATATCTACATGTCTCTTAATAGCAAGATGGGCCATTCTCCGGAAATGGGTCTCCAACTGTCCTAAAACCCTAATGGACATAAAACAAGATCTTAACTCCTTACTACGCCTTGACAGACTTAATCTAATCACCTCCACGACCTATTCAAAAGTGGCTCATTACCTCCGCAAGTGGGAATCCTATATTTACAAGATTCCCTATCCACAAAAGAGCAGCAGCATTTTTTCTCCAGGATCCCAGCCTATTAAGCCACCTATGAAACCCCCTACAAGTCCTGTGGAATTGGGGCTATTGTCAGTATTGATCAGATGATTTTGGTAACATGATATGCTGTTGATGTGTAGTATTTTATCATTAAATAAAACCAAAATGTCGCGCTCAAAATTAAAAAAATACCCAAATAATATCACAAATTATTTTCCAGTGATTAAATCCTCTGTTCAATATATAATCAAATGTGCCTTATTCCATAATTACCATAAATACAATTATCTAATTATTGTGATAAATTATTCAATTAATATGAAAAAATATTAATAATAATCAACCGTGTCATATAATAAATAACTCAAATGTGATATAACTCAAATAAATACACAAGTCTATATTTAAATAAATAGTGAGACAGTCCCATAAATCCTTAATGTGATCCAAAATTATATTTTCGGAATCGTGTGTCCTATTTATGACTATAATATGCGCTCACCTTCATGTAAGCCTAATATTAAATTTAGGCAAACATCACTTTATGTCCACAATAGGAACCTGATGTATTCACTTGTTGAGTCGTTGGGATTTTATGGGTAATGGATATCCCCTGGGAGCTCCTTAGTAATCCTCTCCTTGTCTGCAGATATGACTGCTGGGATCTGTCAGGGCTCCCAGGTGTGGACCAGAGATGTGTGACTGACGCAGGGAAACGCAGACTTCAGATATGGGATAAACAATGTAATTTATTAACACTAACAATACAAACATAAACGCAGTGCAATACTAAACATAATACAGTGCAAACAAACCAAACCAACCACCCACAGATAACAGTACATACAAGCAAGCGTCGTCAGGCAGGCCGGGTCAATATCAATTGGGCAGGTAGGTACAGGGGGAGCAAGCGGAGAATGGTCAGGGTCACAGGCCAGGTTCAGCAGGTAGCAAGCAGCGTAGTACAGAGGGTCAGGCAGAGGGATGGTCAGGGTCACAAGCCAGGGATCAGAACAAGTAGCAAGCAGCGTAGTACAGAGGGTCAGGCAGAGGGATGGTCAGGGTCACAAGCCAGGGATCAGGACAGGTAGCAAGCAGCGTAGTACAGAGGGTCAGCAAAGGAACAGAAACAGGATGCAGGATGCAGGATGCAGGATGCAGGACAGATACAGGGCCCAGGACAAACACAACACCAAGGCAGAGTCTGTGGGTCTGGCCATCCCTTAAATACCCCAGCATAATCAGTTCCAGGTGTTAGCTAGCTGCAAAGTTGAGTCTCTGATTGCTGGGAGCATCCGCTGGCCAGCCCTGGTACTGCAGATCAAAAGGCAGGTGAGTCCCACCATTGCTGGCCAGTCCATTCCTGACAGTACCCCCCCCTCAAGGAGCGGCCTCAGGACGCTCCAAACAGTCCTAGCTGGGAAAAATGTTCCACCGCCCGGGTCTGGTAACTGGCGGGATATCAAAGACTGGCACACCGGGCAGGACTCCGGGCAGCGCGGTACACCGGGCAGAGGCACATCGGGCTGGACTCCGGGCAGAGGCACAATCGGGCTGGACTCCGGGCAGAGGCACACCGGACTGGACTCCGGGCAGAGGCACACCGGGCAGAGGCACACCGGGCAGAGGCACATCGGGCTGGACTCCGGGCAGAGGCACATCGGGCTGGACTCCGGGCAGAGGCACATCGGGCTGGACTCCGGGCAGAGGCACATCGGGCTGGACTCCGGGCAGAGGCACATCGGGCTGGACTCCGGGCAGAGGCACATCGGGCTGGACTCCGGGCAGAGGCACATCGGGCACATCGGACTCCGGGGGCACAGAGGCACATCGGGCACATCGGGCTGGCAGAGGCACATCGGGCTGGACTCCGGGGGCAGAGGCACATCATGCTACCAGGGAAGCGGCAGGCAGCGGGCCACCAGGCGGGCGGCAGGCAGCGGCAGGGCATCGGGCCCCCAGGCGGGGGCGGCAGGCACCGGGCCCCCGGGCGGGGCGACAGGCACGGGCCCCCGGGCGGGGCGACAGGCATCGGGCCCCGGGCGGGGGCGACAGGCATCGGGCCCCCAGGCGGGGGCGACAGGCATCGGGCCCCCAGGCGGGGGCGACAGGCATCGGGCCCCCAGGCGGAGCGGCGGGGCGCCGGACCCCCAGGCGGAAACTATAGGTCTCGGGCCCTCAGGCAGAGCGGTGGGTGCCGGACCCCCAGATGGAGCGACAGGCCTCGGGCCCCCAGGCGGGGGGGCGACAGGCATCGGACCCCCAGGCGGGGCGACAGGCATCGGGCCCCCAGGCGGGGCGACAGGCATCGGGCCCCCAGGCTAGGCGACAGGCATCGGGCCCCCAGGCGGGCGACAGGCATCGGGCCCCCAGGCGGAGCGGCGGGGGTCTCGGGCCCCCAGGCGGGGGAGCGGCGGGGCGCCGGACCCCCAGGGCGGAACTACAGGTCTCGGGCCCTCAGGGCGGAGCAGCGGGCGCCGGACCCCCGGGTGGAGCGACAGGTCTCGGGCCCTCAGGCGGAGCGGCGGGCGCCGGACCCCAGGTGGAGCGACAGGTCTCGGGCCCTCAGGGAGCGGCGGGCGCCGGACCCCCAGGTGGAGCGACAGGGTCTCGAGCCCTCAGGCGGAGCGGCGGGCGCCGGACCCCCAGGCGGTGCGACAGGTCTCGGGCCCTCAGGCGGAGCGGCGGGCGCCGGACCCCCAGGCGGGAGCGACAGGTCTCGGGCCCTCAGGCGGAGCGGCGGGCGCCGGAGTGGTAGCGACAGGTCTCGGGCCCTCAGGCAGAGCGACAGGTCTCAGGCCCCCAGGCGGGGCGGCGGGCGCCGGACCCCCAGGCAGAGCGGCAGGCGCTTGACCCCCAGGCGGAGCGACAGGTCTCGGGCCCCCAGGCGGAGCGGCGGGCACCGAGTCACCAGGCATGACAGTGGGCTCCGAGTCAACTGGCATGACCGCTGGCACTAGGTCAGACATTGGATCGTCTGGCTGGACAGCGGGCATCGGGTCACCAGGCATCAGGTCATTTGGTTCGACAGGCGGGCACCGCGTCATCTGGCAAGGCAGTGGGCTCCGAGTCAACTGGTATGACCGCGGGCACTGGGTCAGACATTGGATCGTCTGACCGGACAGCGGGCATCGGGTCACCAGGCATCAGGTCATTTGGCTCGACCGCGGGCACCGCGTCATCTGGCAAGGCAGTGGGCTCCGAGTCAAAACTGGTATGACCGCGGGCACTGGGTCAGACATTGGATCGTCTGACTGGACAGCGGGCATCGGGTCACCAGGCATCAAGTCATTTGGCTTGACAGCGAGCACCGCGTCATCTGGCAAGGCAGTGGGTTCCGAGTCAACTGGCATGACCGCGGGCACTGGGGCAGACATTGAATCGTCTGGCTGGACAGCGGGCATCGGGTCACCAGGCATCAGGTCATTTGGCTCGACAGCGGGCACCGCGTCATCTGGCAAGGCAGTGGGCTCCGAGTCAACAGGCACGACAGTGGGCACCGGGTCATCAGGTACCGGATTGTCTGGCTCGACAGCGGGCATCGGGGTCACCAGGTATGACAGCGGGCACTGGGTCACCAGGCATCAGGTAATTTGAATTGCCAGCGGGCACCGCGTCATCTGGCAAGGCAGTGGGCACCGAGTCACCAGTTACGACAGCGGGCTCTGAGTCAATTGGCACGACAGCGGGCACCGGATCAGGTACCGAATCATCTGGATCAACAGCGGGCATCGAGTCAACTGGCCTAATAGGATCGTCAGGCTGGATCAGTTCATCAGGCTGGGTAGAGGCATCAGGCTGAATGCCGGCATCAGGCTGCGTACAGGCATCAGGCTGAGTACAGGCATCAGGCTGAGTACAGGCTTCAGGCTGAACCACGGAAGGCAGGTTCACTGGTTTGGATACTGGCAGGATGGTACTGGTTGGAAAGAATTTTCGCTTTTTTCTGGTTTTAACTACTGGAGCACTGCAAGTAAACGCAGGTCTGCAAACGAATGGAGCAGCTGGAGACAGAGAAGAACTGGAGGATGGAACAGGAGAGAGGGAGCAGTTGCTACAGAGGGCTTTTTTACAGGGTTAAAGGCAGGATAGGTGCAGCGAGTGGGAACAGGGTACTGACATGCGGTAGATAGCCAAGTATACTGGGCTGTAACTGGAGGAGCTGGTGGGAATACAGGAGAAGAGTTAGAAGCAGGACTGGGTTTTTGTAAGCTGACTGAGACTGGGTGCAACAAGTCTGTCCATGTCTGCAGTAGGGGTTGAACAAAGCTGAGCTTACACAAAGCCTGTCTGGTCAATGACTGCACTGCGTTTATACAATCTCTTAGTGTCTGTGGTGAACATGTGGAATAACGCTCCAGAAAGTAACCCACATCATCCTCTAATAACCACACCAGGGACTCTACCTGGTCTGCGCTAAATGGTGGCAAAAATTCATCCCTGCATTCGGGGGGTACCAGATGAAACCAACTCTGCACAAACCTCAATCAAAGGCTGCACCTCAGAGAACTCTGTGCCCTGATCTACTAGAACATGAGCGAGCCGAATACATTCTAGCAGTTCATCCCGGGTATACTCCTTCAGAGTTTGATAAGCATACTCCCTGTCATCAAACACTAGCAGATATAAATACACAACCTCATCCAGATCCATCCTTCCCAGCAACAAGCCAAGATGGCTTCCCTGTGCAGCCACTTCTGGTCAGGATTGGCCTTGGTGTAATGTCAGGGCTCCCAGGTGTGACCAGAGATGTGTGACTGACGCAGGGAAACGCAGACTTCAGATATGGGATAAACTAACAATACAAACATAAACGCAGTGCAATACTAAACATAATACAGTGCAAACAATCCCAACCAACCACCCACAGATAACAGTACATACAAGCAAGCGTCGTCAGGCAGGCCGGGTCAATATCAATTGGGCAGGTAGGTACAGGGGGAGCAAGCGGAGAATGGTCAGGGTCACAGGCCAGGTTCAGCAGGTAGCAAGCAGCGTAGTACAGAGGGTCAGGCAGAGGGATGGTCAGGGTCACAAGCCAGGGATCAGAACAAGTAGCAAGCAGCGTAGTACAGAGGGTCAGGCAGAGGGATGGTCAGGGTCACAAGCCAGGGATCAGGACAGGTAGCAAGCAGCGTAGTACAGAGGGTCAGCAAAGGAACAGAAACAGGATGCAGGATGCAGGGCCCAGGACAAACACAACACCAAGGCAGAGTCTGTGGGTCTGGCCATCCCTTAAATACCCCAGCATAATCAGTTCCAGGTGTTAGCTAGCTGCAAAGTTGAGTCTCTGATTGCTGGGAGCATCCGCTGGCCAGCCCTGGTACTGCAGATCAAAAGGCAGGTGAGTCCCACCATTGCTGGCCAGTCCATTCCTGACAGGATCTCTCCCTCCTTGCTGTGCTGTGGGATTTCTGCTCCGTCCCCCCGATCCTCCCTAGATTCTCCTCTGTGTTAAATGTATAAAAGAAAGGAGATATAGTGCCTTTTCCTTGTTTAAAAATTACTTTACTTAAGGCCCAACATTGCAGTCACATTTTAAAAAACATTTTGCGCTTTGTGTAATATAAAAAGAGCCTCCTCCATGTGTGTATACCACACACAACCTACTGTATACTCGCCGTTCTGGGTGTGTGGTGACGTCAGAGCCCCTCACATTGTGCCACAGGTCCACGTGGCTTCGTCAGGGGGATGCGATTGGACGTTCACCTCACCCATAGTACTTTATATAGCTGATATGCGCCATCTTGTTGTAGTGTTCCTAATCGTGGCCATCTTTTTGGGGCCAAATTGCATTTAACAATCCTACTCTTCCACCTGCGCTGTCAAATTGATTATTTTGTATCTATTTATAGATACTTTTTACTCTGCTTCATCTCACTACACCCTACGGACTCGTAAGAAGTGTGCAGCTCACACGATAATAAGAATAACAATTAATATAAAGAAATAAAATAAAATATATAATAAAAAAAAATTATTAAAATAAAATAAAATTGTTACTACATTTTAATTAATCCTAAACATATTAAAAGCATGAGAAATGAAATATAATCATGGCATTGAAATATGAAAAATATATATATAAACTGTGAAAAATCTTTTAGAAAACAATAAAATTAATTATTTTATTATTTATTAACATGATTATATGTTCTCTTAAGTATTAAATACCATGTGATCCTTATGGGAAATAATCCCTTTTACATATGAGACTTCCCTATAATTTAGGTCATTATCAATTCACTTATTATGATGGTTGGAAGATCATGGTATCTACTACTCTTTAAAATGATTTTGCACTATATAAATATAACAGTACTCCTTTTATTCATACATATATATAAAAAGTCTCATATATAAAAGGGAACATATACGTGAAATTGAAAATGAATATACGAATAAAAATGACAAAGAAAGGGAAAACCCCCTAGCTCAATATTTTAAGGAAGTACATCAAGGTAAAACGGATGGTCTAAAAGTAAAAGGTATTTTTCTCCTCAATATCTCCTCTAGAAGAGGGGACTTTGATAAAGTTCTTTTGCAAAAAGAGAAATTTTGGATATATACGTTGGGTACATTGATACCACATGGATCAAATACGGAGTTAAATTTCAAAGTATTCCTTAAATAAATTTTTGTTTGAATGTGTTGCTGATGTTCTGATATTATTCTGCATCATGCAAATGGCATAAACTTTTGAAAATAGAAAGAAAACCTGTGATGATGATATAATTTTATTATTGGCATCTGCTGAATGATAATAGACAGTTACACTATGTGAACTTCAACCTATCTTATGGCCAGTCTTTAATGACATATATGTCAGTCATTTTAGAATTCAGTTCAGATTAACAATGTAGTGATGACATTTCAACACAACAGGGCGACAAAAGGATGAAATTATGCAAAGTCTGCACTATAAAAAGAATGTGAAAGCTGTCCTCTTCCAGTTCTGACGAAGTCCGCGATGATTGGTGGACGAAACACGTCAATGTAGTGACATCATCAGCTTCTGCGTCACACCATGCTGCGATGTCCATGAGGGGAAATAGGCACGCCAGTACTTGGGATGACTCCCGGGAGTTCATTTAACTACATGTGGCGATATACCACTTCCACCGGTAAATTTTTGAATAGAGCTAAGTCATATCTTGCACTCTATATAATAATGGACTTTTATGTTCTGAACCTCATAAACAAACTCCAGCACTGATAAAATCAGCATAGAATCCATAATATAGATGAGAGTGCCTCCAAACACAGTTCTATTATCTTCTCCAGCCATTGCCCATAGACCTCATAAACAGACCAGGGATCAGTATGTGTATTAAAGAATAAACATATTTTATTGTAGCAACTTACATTAGAATAAGATGAGAACGGCTTCCATGTAGTGAAATAATCCAAAAAGACACCCACTTCTTAGCGGTAACTCTTTTTCTAAAACACCTTATTACTCAGAGGGAGAGCCAGGCAAACATGGAAGTCTCCAGGGTTGGAACAGCCGCGTGTTCCAGAACCCAAAATGGCCGCCACGGCACTTCCGGAAAAGCGTCAATACGTCACCACGTCACGTGCCCCGGACGCGTTTCGTCACATCCGGACTTTTTCAACATTATGCACTCTTTATATTGTGTGCAGTGGAGTTATTAATTGAATATTAGCCCTGAGATCTCACGATTGCTGTGGCACTTTTTTTTTTTCTGCTTTATTTGCATGTTACACGTGTGGCACTTCATTTAATATTTGGGGTAATATACTATGTTGAGATTTTTTCTTTGAGGTATTTGAAGATTTTCTGGAGTATATCACCAATCTGATCCGGGGATAAAGATTAATTGAGAAATCACTTGCAAAGATCTTTTTTGGACATTTGAACTTTACTTTGGACTTTAGGTGTATGGGACTTTATATTTGTGTTTTTCACTTATTTTAAGTTTGCTTATCACTATTATTATTATTTTTGTACTTCAGGGGAAGGAATGTTAAGCAAATTATTGGGGTTTTGGTAGAGGAAGTAAGTGCTAATTTTGGTATTGATTAAACTCCAGCACTCTTATTTATAGAGAAATTTTTGGGCCTTTCATAGGTGAAAACTGATTTTTTGCTTTGCGATAAGCATTGTTATATGGAAAAATGGGCCTTTTTGTCCAAAAAACCTTTTAAAGGAACCGCCTTGCTCTTATATAGAAGAGGAATTTTTGGAGCCTACAGAAGGCTGTTTACATATATCTCCAGCGCAATATTGCAATTCAAACTTTACCCACAATTATATACAATTTTTGGCATTTAGGTGGAACCATACCTCTCATCTTTTTGAAAACGGGTCTCAAGGATTCATATCTTTTAAGTGGAAACAATGATGACCTTTATCAGGGTAACTATCTCCTTTTTTGGAACTGCCCATAGAAATGTGTGATTTTCTGCATATTAATACCTTTATTATTCATCATAGATTTACCATTATTGTAATCCACTGAATGCATCCTATTTAAGGAATATCGGCCGATTGAAGCTGGCAATGTACAATGCAATTTTCTTTACCAACTTATATGATGAAGATGAATTGCAAAGAAGGTAATGACGTTTTCAATGTTATATTCCCTCTCTAGAAGCCATTCTTTACTATTGGATTCAAGCTTGTTGTTTTAGATGCAGATATATGCTTAAAGTGACTCTTCCAAGATTCTTTATTCATTGTACATTTATTCTCCAGGAGTTTTATCACTCATTCCTCATCATTCCATATTGATGAATATATGAAGGAAGTTATATAGACACTTCCAAGACAGAAGAGAAAGATTAAGAAATCTAAATTGTGAAGATTCACCCAACTTGCATTCAACCACTATGGACTTCCTAAATACTTTTACAGAAGATTTTCTGTCAAATACTCATCTCGGCTTTTTTCAGCCGTCTATACCGATGCAGCTAAGTGGAAACATAGAACGCTTTTTTTGTTTTTTGTTTTTATTCTATGATTTTATCTTTATGTATGACAGTGTGTACACCATGATGCAAATGCCAACCTTTTCATGATCTAATTGATCTCAATAAAAATATTTGCATCCATTACTTAGGGTGATAATTTACTCCGCATAGGATTCATAATATACTGCCTTTTTGGCAGGTTTGCTCTTGTCAGCAGCTAACTTTTTTCTTATATCTGAGGAGCACCTTGACAGTTCATTGAGAATTGCTACTACATCCATCAAACAAGATATAGATGCTTTAGTTTATCAAAACCAGTGTCAAATATCGCACTAATTTTATGTTGACCTCTCTTACTTTTTATAACAAAAAATATTACAAAAACATTCAGTTTTATTACTCAGATAGGTACATTATCTATATCAGTGATTATTAACTTGCGATCTTCCTGATTTTTCTGCTCATCAGCTATTCTTATTGTTAATGTATTTTTTGTGTGGCCCAAAACAATTCCTCTTCTTCCAGTGTGGCTCAGGAAAGTCAAAAGGTTGGACACCCCATTTTTTTTTCAGTATTTACCTCACATTCGATATTTCACTTTGATGAATTGACTCTTTTTTTATCTCATGTGATATTTCCAAAAAATAAGCAAAAACCACAACTATTGCATGCAATATATGTTAGGGAATTGAGCCCACAGTGAGTTGTAAGAGGCTAGTGAACAATTGTGTTATATTTTCTAACAGAATTTGATTAAAATTACAATTATGAAGAAACATTAAGGTATGACAAGCACAAGAACAATAACCTGAAATCATTCTAGGTGCGGGAGGATGTTCAGCCTTTTATAGTCTTCTTCCCCTCATGCAAATCCCATCTCTGCTTCCTGTCTCATCCTGCCAGCTAGAAAAGCTGAACTGACCGGCCGGGATGTTCTAGTGAGATCTTGGTGTCCCCTCAGAACATTCACAACATCTAAAGCCAAGAAGACAACATGTTTCTATTCTGTTGTATTTTGTGTCTGTCCTCATTTCTTGGTAAGTCTGGAATACAGAAAAAAGCAGGAAACCATTCTGATGGAATCATCTTATTTCTGATCATATTTTTATTCTTGGTTACAGGGGTCATGTCACAAACACTTACTCAGCCCTCCTCAGAAATAAAAAAGCCGGGAGAGAGTGTGAAGATGTCCTGTAAAGGATCTGGGTATACATATACCAACTACTATATAAACTGGGTTCAACAGGTTCCAGGGAGAGGACTGACATGGATTGGGAGAGTTCACCCTACTTATAATGGGGTTACAGATTATTCCTCTTCATACAAGGGAAGATTCACAATAACAACTAATGCATCTATAACTACATCATATCTACAAATAGAAAATCTGAAAGTGGAAGACACGGCCACATATTACTGTGCAAGAGACACAGAGATCCAAGGATGACATCTGTCATACAAAAAACATCCAGATGTAATGCTTTCCTCTTACCAGCTGGCTGCAGAATATCCTCACTGATGTTTCTCTATATCACATCAACGCACACAAAATCCAGAGTCATTCTTGTTGATTATGCACATGAATATGTTGACCCTAAACAATTTACCTTGTATGATTAGAACCAACTCTTACAAAAATTAGTGAAGCTCAAAATAGAATTGTCATTCTAAGGCCTCATGCACACAGGGCATTTTTGCAGCTGCTTTTAGGGGCATCACAGCCCTCCATATTATCCTATGTGTCCATGCACACATAGACTTTTAGAAGCTTTTAGTACCAATAGCGTTAACAGCAGGAAAAAAAACCCAGGGCCAGCGCATCCAGGAGCAGCAGTGCTTTGGCAGAAAAAAATACTTGATGCTTGTTAAGACTCAGTACGTTTAGTGCTTGAGCATTAATTCATTTCAATGGCCATCATAAATTATTATTCTGGCCAATGAACTGAATTAACGCCCAAGTGTTTGACGCTTGTAAACACGCCTAAACGCTTGTAAAAGCATTAGACACTTTGACATGATGATGAATTTGGGTCCCTCTGTAGTCTTGCACAGCCAGTCATTCAGTAATTTTCACACAAGCTTCCATCTGGAGACAGAAATCAGGCCTTGAGCATTGGTTTTGTTTTTTATTGAGGGGATTATAACTTGGATAGGGTAAGTGGGTATAGGATGCCCAAGGGAACCGATATCTGAGAACAACTTCCTGAAACTATTCACAAGCTTCTTCTTCTACAACACAGTCTCTGATGGAGTGCTAGTCAGCATCTCCTAGTTGTACCACCCCAGACCCTAGATTATTATTATTATTATTACTACGAGTTTATATAGCGCCAAAGGGTTTGCTCAGCGCTGTACAATAGGGGGGGACAATACATGGCACAGTACAACAAAGACAGACAGCGTACGAGGGGTAAGAGGGCCCTACTCTTACGAGCTTACAATCTAGGAGGGAGGGGGTAAAGGTACAGTAGGAAGTGGCTGGGGGGGATGAAGTGGTAGGAGGAATGAGGGAGGATGGCCGTTAGGTGAGGGTGGGGTAGGCTTCCCTGAAGAGATGGGTTTTGAGGGAGCGCCTGAATGTGAATAGAGAAGGCGACAGTCTGATGGATTAGGGCAGTGAGTTCCAGAGGATGGGGGAGGACCTGGAGAAGTCCTGCAGTCGTGCATGGGAGGAGGAGACCAGGGAGCAGGATAGAAGGAGGTCCTGTGAGGAGCGAAGGGTACGGGTAGGGTGGTACCTGGTGATCAGATTGGTGAGGTAGTCAGGGGCAGTGTTGTGAACGGCTTTGTAGGTCAGGGTAAGGAGTTTAAATTTGATGCGTTGGGCAATCGGGAGCCAGTGGAGGGAGAGGCAGAGGGGGGTGGCAGAGGTGGAGCGGGTGGTAAGGTGGATGAGTCTGGCAGCTGAGTTCAGGATGGTCTGGAGCGGGGAGAGCCTGCACTTGGGTAGGCCAGTGAGGAGGGAGTTGCAGTAGTCAGTGAGGAGGGAGTTGCAGTAGTCAGTGAGGAGGGAGTTGCAGTAGTCAGTGAGGAGGGAGTTGCAGTAGTAGTAGATGAATTCCTCTTCACCCAGCAATCTGGAGACTTTCTTCCTGAGCAGGGGATCTGGGCACTTTTCCTTTAAACACGGTGGACAGTCACTAGCAGGGGGCTAATTTGGTTTCTCATCAGAGTGCTCCTTCCCCTATCTGCCCAGGGGGTGCAGGTGCACTCACTAAGATCCTCTCCTGTAACATTTGCAGGCTGAATGCAGCTACCAGTCCTATCAACTGGGCTGCTCCCTCCCTACTACACAGGTGGTCCTCTCTCAGGGAGCCAGTGAGTCCTGAGCTTTCCTCTTTTACAGTTCCAGGCTCACAGGCAGACTCCATCCCACTAGGCCTCCTAGCTGCCTCCCTCCTCCAGCCTCACATCTCCCTACTCTACACTCTTCTCCTTCTTCCTACTCCCACTAATTTTGTAAATAAGTGTTTTTTTCCTTCACTGATGTGCGCTAATGAGGCTGCATTGATGGGCACTGATAAATCCCACCAATCCTCTCCTAGATTCTCCTCCGTGTTAAATATATAAAAGAAAGGAGATATAGTGCCTTATCCTTGTTTAAAAAATACTTTATTTAGTGCCCAACATTGCACTCACATTTTAAAAAACATTTTGCGCTTTGTGTAATACAAAAAAAGCCTCCTCCGTGTGTGTATACCGCACACAACCTATACTAACTGTTATGGGTGTGTGGTGACGTCAGAGCCCTTCCCCTACGCGTTGTGCCACAGGTCCACGTGGCTTCGTCAGGGGGATGCGATTGGATGTTCACCTCACCCATACTACTTTTATATAGCTGATATGTGCCATCTTGCTGTAGTGTTCCTAATCGTGGCCATCTTTTTGGGGCCAAATTGCATTTAACAATCCTACTCTTCCACCTGCGCTGTCAAATTGATTATTTTGTATCTATTTATAGATACTTTTTAATCTGCTTCATCTCACTACACCCTATGGACTCGTAAGGAGTATGCCGCTCACACAATAATAAGAATAACAATTAATATAAAGAAATAAAATATATAATAAAAAAATTATTAAAATAAAATAAAATTGTAACTACATTTTAATTAATCCTAAACATATTAAAAGCATGAGAAATTAAATATAATCATGGCATTGAAATATGAAAAATATATATAAACTGTGAAAAATCTTTAGAAGACAATAAAATTAATTATTTTATTATTTACTAACAATATTATATGTTCTCTTAAGTATTACATACCATGTGATCCTTATGGGAAATAATCCCTTTTACATATGAGACTTCCCTATAATTTAGGTCATTATCAATTCACTTATTATGATGGTTGGAAGATCATGTTATCTACTACTCTTTAAAATGATTTTGCACTATATAAATATAATATAACAGTACTCCTTTTATTCATACATATATATAAAAAGTCTCATATATAAAAGGGAACATATACGTGAAATTGAAAATGAATATAAGAATAAAAATGACAAAGAAAGGGGAAATCCCCTAGCTCAATATTTTAAGGAAGTACATCAAGGTAAAACGGATGGTCTAAAAGTAAAAGGTATTTTTCTCCTCAATATCTCCTCTAGAAGAGGGGACTTTGATAAAGTTCTTTTGCAAAAAGAGAAATTTTGGATATATACGTTGGGTACATTGATATCACATGGATCAAATACGGATTAAATTTCAAAGTATTCCTTAAATAAATTTTTGTTTGAATGTGTTGCTGATGTTCTGATATTATTCTGCATCATGCAAATGGCATAAAACTTTTGAAAATAGAAAGAAAACCTGTGATGATGATATAATTTTATTATTGTCATCTGCTGAATGATAATAGATAGTTACACTATGTGAACTTCAACCTATCTTATGGCCAGTCTTTAATGACATATACGTCAGTCATGTAAATTTTAGAATTCAATTCAGATTAACAATGTACTGACGACATTTCAACACAAGAGGGCGACAAAAGGATGACATTATGCAAATTCTGCACTGTAAAAAGAATGTGAAAGCTGTCCTCTCCCAGTTCTGACGAAGTCCACGATGATTGGTGTACGAAACACGTCAACGTAGTGACATCATCACGTTCTGCGTCACATCATGCTGCGATGTCCATGAGGGGAAAGAGGCACGCCATGCGCCTCCATTTTGGATAAACACTGGCCAAGAAGGAAACCGCCAGTACTTGGGATAACTCCCGGGAGTTCATTTAACTACATGTGGCGATATACCACTTCCACCGGTAAATTTTTGAATAGAGCTAAGTCATATCTTGCACTCTATATAATAATAATGGACTTTTATGTTCTGAACCTCATAAATGAACTCCAGCACTCTTATTTATAGAGAAATTTTTGGGCCTTTCCTAGGTGAAACCTGATTTTTTTGCTTTGCGATAAGCATTGTTCTATGGAAAAAAACGGGACTTTTTGTCCAAAAAGCTTTTAAAGGAACCGCCTTGCTCTTATATAGAAGAAGAATTTTTGGAGCCTACAGAAGGCTGTTTACATATATGTCCAGCGCAAAATTGCAATTCAAACTTTACCCACAATTATATACAATTTTTGGCATTTAGGTGGAACCATACCTCTCATCTTTTTGAAAACGGGTCTCAAGGATCCATATCTTTTAAGTGGAAACAATGATAACCTTTATCAGGGTAACTATCTCCTTTTTTGGAACTGCCCATAGAAATGTTTGATTTTCTGCATATTAATACCTTTATTATTCATCATAGATTTACCATTATTGTAATCCACTGAATACATCCTATTTAAGGAATATCGGCCGATTGAAGCTGGCAATGTACAATGCAATTTTCTTTACCAACTTATATGATGAAGATGAATTGCAAAGAAGGTAATGACGTTTTTCAGTGTTATATTCCCTCTCTAGAAGCCATTCTTTACTATTGGATTCAAGCTTGTTGTTTTAGATGCAGATATATGCTTAAAGTGACTCTTCCAAGATTCTTTATTCATTGTACATTTATTCTCCAGGAGTTTTATCACTCATTCCTCATCATTCCATATTGATGAATATATGAAGGAAGTTATATAGACACTTCCAAGACAGAAGAGAAAGAATAAAGAAATCTAAATTGTGAAGATTCACCCAACTTCCATTCAACCACTATGGACTTCCTAAATGTTTTTACAGAAGATTTTTTGTCAAATACTCATCTCGGCTTTTTTCAGCCATCTATACCGATGCAGCTAAGTGGAAACGTAGAACTTTTTTTTTGTTTTTCTTCACTGATTTTATCTTTATGATTGACAGTGTGTACACCATGAAGCAAATGCCAACCTTTTCATGATTTAATTGATATCAATAAAAATATTTGCATCCATTATTTAGGGTGATAATTTACTCCGCATAGGATTCATAATATACCGCCTTTTTGGCAGGTTTGC